TTTTTTTTTTTATTATGGTCAACGAAGATATTTTATATTTCACTCTCCTTGAATTTCTTAAGACTTATTTGTGGGATAACATGATTTATCCTGGAGAAAACTCTGTGGATCAGTGTGTTTAAGGTGAAGGTGTGTTGTAGAATGAACTATTGGATATTTGGAATGTTCCATATATGTCTGTTAGGTCCATTTGCTCTTAAGTATTGGTCAAATTAACTATTTCTATATTGACTTCCTGCTCAGATAATCTGACTACTGGTATTATTAAATTGTCTCTCTTATCCTTCAGATGTATTGATATTTGCTTTATAATTTTAGATGCGCTAATCTATGATAAATTGATCCTTTTTATCATAATTTAATGTCATGATAATTTTATAGCCTCTTTTTATGGTTTTGACTTTAAATTTGTTTTCTGTAAATAGCCATCTTTGCTTATTTTGGTTACTATTTGCTTTGAATGTCGTTTCCTTCCTTTTACTCTCCTTAAGCCTAAAGTGAATGTCTAGTTTTAGATCATGTTGTTTTTTTTTTTTTTTGGTCGCCGTAGGGTTTGAACTCTGGGCCTGGGCACTGTCCCTCAGCTCTTCAGCTCAAGGCGAGCACTCTACCACTTGAGCTACAGAGCCACTTCCGGTTTTCTGGTGGTTTATTGGAGATAGGAGTCTCACGGTCTCTCCTGCCCGGGCTGGCTTTGAACCGTGATCTTCAGATCTCAGCCTCCTAAGTAGCTAGGATTACAGGCGTGAGCCACCATGCCGGGCTAGATCTTGTTTTTAAAATTGGTTTGGTCAGGCTGGAGGTGTAACTGCTCAGTGGTAGAAAGCTTACCTGGGTTCCATCCCTGGGCCAGGCTTGGCATTTGTTCAGCCACTCTATATTATTCTCCGGTTCTGTCCCTGCGCTCTTCATCTCAAGGCAAGTGTTCTATCACTTGAGCTACAGCGCCACTTCTCATTTATATATATTTTTAAACCTAGTTTCTAACAAGCTTTATTTTTTATTTTCATTTTTAGTTTTTGGAAGTACTGATGTTTGAACTCAGGGTCTTTTACTTTCTAGGTAAGTCCTGTGTAACTTGAGCCCTAGCTCCAATTAATTAATCTACTTAGTTTAAAATAATTATATGATAGGTGAGAAGTTCATTGTGTTCTTTTGTTTTTTTACTGGTTGCTTTGCATGTGATCTTTTTTCCTTTTTTGGTGATTTGTTTTATTTTTTTGTTTTGCTCATTTAATTTTTATGAGCCTATTAAGATTTCTTCTTTGTGGATACCAAAAGATTTAGATTAGACATTTTATATACTATATTGGGCTTGGTGGCTCATGCTAATCCAAAATTAACTAGGAAGCAGAAATCAGGATGAATATGGTTTTGGTCCAGTCCAGAAAAACAAAATAAAACAAGAAACCCATGAGATCCTACCCCAAAAATGAACTCCTTGGGTCAGAGCATAAGGGTCTATCTAAGCAAGTAGAAGGCCCTGAGTTCAAATTCTGGAACTGCAAAACAGCAAAAGCAGTAGAGTTCAGTTATAATGTGCTAATTAGTTCTTTAACTTCAATTGCATAACAAAGACTACCGTTTTACATTTTATTGTTGATATTATATATGTTTATATTGTTAATCTGTTAACTCTTTGTTCCTATCTGTAGATTTAAAAAGACACTTTTAATCCGTAGGTTTTTTTTTAAGTACACACCATTTTTTCAGTAGCAAGACTATTCTGAATTTGACTATGTATTTATCTTTACCAGTGATCATAATACTTTTATGTTATTATATTGTTACTTAGGGTTCTCATTTCAAATTGAACTACCTTTGCAATTCCTTGTAAATTCAGTCTTGTGTTACGAACTTCCTCAGATTTTTATTTTAAGACTTTTATCCCTTCATTTTATATTCTTATATGTTAAATATAATAGGTTTTATGGTGATATTTTAGTACATGTATGTAATGTACGTGGTCATATTTACCCTCTCTATGAACATCTTAACCCTTTTTCTTGTCCCCTTCATTAGGTGACCTCCCTTTTACTTACACATTTTTTTTTTCTAAATTTCACATAGCTGATACATGACAAACTTATTTCCTGTTCATGTTTGTAGAATAGCTTTGTACAACACAGTATATTTAGGTTTTAGCTTTTATTTATTTTTATGTTTTGAATGAACATAGGAGGTTTTCTTTTTCAGTACTTTTTTTTTTTTT